ACACGTCTTTGTTTTTCCATATTTTATTTCCTCTTTTCATTACTTTTTCAGATCTGGAAAATAAACTACATTCAAAACTTTTCAAGCGTGCGCAGGAAGCTCGTGCACTGCATCTCGTTTTCACGTGAACATATTGACTCCCGGTTGATCTGTGAACTCTGGGCCTTGTCGAATCAGTTCACCTGTGTGATCATCACTCGCTCTGCTTTTGAATGAGGGATCTCTTGTTGTGAAAGCCAAACCAAATCAATACATAATTATTTAGTATCACTGAGCCGTGCTGCAATTTGCTTTGATCCAGACGGCTAGGGGGCTCCCTGAGATGCTCCCCCCCACCACCACCCACAGCCCACCTGGAGGAGTCTGTAACACAATATGAAAGCCCCTACTTTCACACCGCGCACAAACTGTAAACATCCCCGCCTGGTACCAATTTATCTCCTGACCAATTCATGTCACCAGGGGCTGACAAGAATGCATCTTTGGGGAGCGCATGGCTCGGTACAATCAGTCTAAATAGCAGGAACATCCCCGAAAAACAAACTTTACAACATCTTCCATATGGCGAGAGGCGTGGAACCACAGCTAACCACAATCAGAGCAGAGACAGCGCAGCCTGTGTGGAGGCTGTGTCTGCTAAGAAAGCACGACAGGCAGCCATATGGACACAGGCGCTACACAAGACGCACAACTTTCAGATACAAGAGCCTGGGGGACTGGCCTATATTGCTACCACCTGTGCTTCTGGCGGCTCATGAGCACAGTGCTGCTGCTGCTCCTCCACCGTGAGCCATGCGCTCCGAGACAGCGGGACAGATAAGGAGATTCATTGCACAACAAAATGTTGTGTTCCCACATGAGAATAAGTCCAGCCACAAAAATCTCATTGATATGCATATATTCAATGAGGAATAATGTCCAATTGCGCTGCACTTCTTCACACCGTCACTTCTGGGACAAAATCCATTTGGTGTAATTTAAAAATTGATCCAAAAGCAAATTTGTAACAAAATAAAATTCTCACAGTGCGCCAGTTGTGCTGGATAGAAGAAGCTGATAATCAGATTAAAATCTGATTTGTATCAATGCTGGCGAAGCTGCACATCAAGAGGGGGACTTTAAAGGTCACTACAAGTTTCCTTGTGTTATAATTGCTTGCTTAAGAGTTCAAATTGTTCATAACATGTGATAATTGCATTGCAATTAGAAGGCAGTCGAGCATTCATGAATGCTGTTAGCAGATTTTTTTCCCCTCTCTTTCAAAAATCAAATTTTTTAATTCAATTATGAATTATGCATTCACATTAAGACCTCTGTTTTGATACAGCTAATAAATAGATGGCAGAGGACCAATTATAATGAGTTTGTAACAAGGAAATGAGTGAACTGGTGATGGTGATGCTGGTTTTTAATTTAAAGAGACCTTTTTTTTTTTTAAATTCGTTGCAAGAAGGCTTGTTGGTTAATTCTGTTTTAATAAGATATTGAAATGTGGAGAGCGCTGGGAATCAGCGAGCACAAAACGCTGAGTGGCTGGTGGCAGAAGAGTGCTTTTAAACGGCAGATGGTTAAATAGTTGTAAATGACAACATTTACACCAAATGAGCTACATTAAGGCAATAAAAGAAGAGTATTGTATTTATTTTTTATGCATTTGAAGACATAAAAACAGAGACAAAAACTAATTAGTAATTCTGACAGCTCTGTTAGGATGTTTTATCTTTCCCACTTCCTGTTCCACAGTTTCTGTGACCTCTACTCTTTTTTTCTTTCATTCTCTTCATTCATTAGCTCCTCAAAGTACTCCTTCCATCTTCCCCTCACTGTCCTCACTTGTTAGACCATTACCATTTCTATCTTTAACAAGCCTAACCTGCTGCACATCCTTTCCAGCCTGATCATATTAAAAATAGCAATGATAACTTACATTTTATATATATGAATGTTTCTGTTCAGTGCCCAGAGATGACTTCTGTTGTGACTTGGAGCTATACAAATAAACTGAATTGAATTATTGTCAGGTGGTGAGAAAAATGATGGCGATGAGAAAAAACAAGAGCTCTTCTTTTAGTGAAACGGGATCATTTAGAGCAGGTCAGGCTGAGAGTAATCCCTCCATGTGTTGCACTGCAGACACATGGGAGCAACAGCACAGAGATGGATCTGACAGCTGCTGGCCAGTTGTTTTCAAGCTCACTTACTTTGATGGGATGCTTTTGGCCATAAACAAGTCAGGAACTGTGGTCTCTCCTACTGATGGACTCGGCCCATCAGAAGAAAATGTGAAGATTGATGCCCGTCGTGCTCGGTCAGTCTAACTCACCGTTTGTGCATTAAGTTTATTCTCCTCATCCTCTCTCCCCCTCCATCCATCCCCCAAATACTCTAGATGTTTCCTGGATCCTTTCCTCCTACTGGTACCACTGCATGCTTTACCCTAAATGATTTAATTAGCTTTTTTTTCTTGTGCAAGACAAATGAAAAGCAAGGGAGAGATGGGAGAGCTGTGCCAAATCTGATTATTTATCTCCTTAACAGATTGCTGCGTTACAGTCCCTGAGCTGTTGTTACTGATGGTTGTTGGGAAGTAAAGTGGGCCAAGTGCTTTGTGGCAATGCACCCCGCCCCCCCCCCCACACACACACACACACACACACTCTATCTCTTTCTACAAAGCTGATGCAGCTCTGTATTGGGAATTTGTGTCAGATACAGATCAGGCCTATTTGATTTAAATAAGCAAATCACTGAATAAAGATGACCTTGCTCACGGGGGTATATCTCCATCCTTTCAGCAGCTGGGAAACAGCAGATAGAGTGACTCAGGCTCTTGTCGTTTTGGGGGTGTTATTTAGACAAACAGACAAACAATCCCAGCTTGCCTTGCCGGAGCGATCTTAGCAACAACTAAAAGCAGGAACACGTGCATCATTTTCGGTGTGTCAAGGCGGCAGTGATTGAATTTCTCCCCTTCCTTAAGACGGAAGTGCAAAGCCAGTGAGTGATTCCTGTGGATGCACTTAAGGTTTTAGTTGCAGGCGTCGTTGTGCCTGGGCAGATTTTATATGACACATGAAACTAACTACACGGTACTTAGGGCCCGCTGTAAACCAATCTGAAGCCAGTCGGGAAAATAGGCCCATCTGCAGAGAGGCTTGTTTCAGTTGCATGACAAAAGGACTCGCAAAACCGCATCAATTAAAAGTTCATTAAGTTCAGCGCTGGGAGGATGAGTGGATGCTCTCTATTTACGCCTGGGCCGGCCCAGCCCATTATCTTCAACCTGATTATTCAAATCCCTGGATTATAACACAGACGTTTCTCGCAGAGCCTTGCTTAGAATAATCTTACTTAATAATATTTCATTTTTCTTTCCATGGAGTCCGATTAGAATTGAGTCTGCATCATCAAAAGAAAAGGAAAAATGCTTCTGATAGTTGCGCGATTTAAAATTAACACAAGAAAGATTATTGGTTGTGTGAATCTAAATTAGCACCGTTCAGCATTCGATAGGGAATGTTTTCTGCTCACTCTGTATGAGCAATCTTTTCTTAGTAATTGCACGTTTTAAAAAAATGCGTGTGGGTAATCCACCTCCTTGAAAAGATGGGGTGAATGAGAATCACCTGCCTGGTTTTCTGACAGATCGAAGATACTACAAGAACATACAGACTAAGGCTGCCTTCTTCACTTAAGCCCGTGTTAAACTGCTGCTGACATCTTCTTTAATCTCTGACAGTCAGCGCGAGGCAGAGAGGCTGCCAACTCTTGCGTTATGTCTTCTCCGATGTTTCATGGAGCCTTCAGCTGCTCTTTGCTGCCATCAATGCTCACCTTGTTTTCCTGTTTGCGACAGTGTGTGATGGAGTCAGCAAGTCGATACCCTTCGCAGTGATTTGTCAGAAACCAGACATTCAAGTGGTGAATAAATTCCAGTTTTTATTTCTCCTTCACTGACTGTGCCGTAACCTAAAATCTCAAGTGAGTCTACACGGGTGGGTCTTAAAACCAAATCCGGTTGAAGATACTGCTATATATCTGCTTTCTCCTTCAGAGAATTAAAGCACATCCTCTTGGTGCCACTTATGGCACTTTCCCACAGTCTCAACTCTCTCATCGGTTCTGCACCACACCAAACCTGTTAAGGGCCTGCCCAATGTAAGTACCCACTCCCACTCAGCCCAGTTTATGGGACCACCTTGTCTGTGGTTCCAAGCAAACTGCTCAGACCACAGCGGAGCTACGTCAATGGATGACCCGCCTAGCAAAACTGAAAACTACACCTGAACCTCCACTTCCTCATCATATTGACGGACAGCACCACAAAAGATAAGCAAATTTACTGAGAGATATTTCATTTAATTTTTCATTTATTTATTTCTATAGCGCTTTACACAACCACGGTGATGGTGCTCAAAGTGCTAAAAAAAACAGTAATTAAAATAACAACAAGTTAAAAGCAAGGAAAAAACACAATAAAATAACAAAAAGAGAACCAGAAATGTCAACACATTTAAGTACTAAAAGCCTGTTGGAATAAAAAAAAGTCTTAAGCTTCGATTTAAAAGGACCAAGTTCAGTAATCTGATGTAGCTCAAGTGGGGGTTTATTCCAGAGTCGAGGTGCGGCCGCAGAAAAGGCACGGTCACCCCAGCGATTATATTTTGTCCTTGGAACAGAGAGCAGGAGCTGGCTGACCTCAGACACCTGAAGCAGGCGGGGAAACTTAACAACTCTGTTATATAAGGAGGAGCGAGGCCATTCAGAGCTTTAAAAACAAATAATAAAAGTTTAAAATCTATTCTAATATGGACAGGAAGCCAATGTAGTGAGCGTAAAACAGGTGTGATGTGGTCCCGTCTAGGAGTGTTGGTTAAAAGGCAAGCTGCTGCATTTTGAACAAGTTGGAGGCGGCTCAGTGATGACTGAGGTACACAGACACACAGAGCATAACATTAATCAAGCCTAGAACTGATAAGAGCATAAACAGCCTTCTCCAAGTCACAACGGTTTAAAAAGGGTTTGACTTTTTTTAAAAGGCATAAATAAAAAAATCCAGACTGGACAACAGAGGTTATATGTTTGTCAAAGTGTAAAGCCTTATTATATTGGAGACGATGGTGCAGCATGGCTACACCCGGACTTATACACAGTGCTGGAATAAGCTAAATAAATTGAAGTCTGACTATAGGGCGATTAAGGACCACAATGGCACAGTGGCTCCAACACAATGACCAATTACATGATCTCTTTAACCCTCTGTATCCCTCCACTCCCCCACTAGCAGCCCCTTGCCACCCCCAGACGCCTGCTGATTTATTTTGCTAAACATGATTTCATCGGCATCGCTTTCATACCGACACACAGGTTTGATGTTTGATCACTAAAACACAAGTCAGATGTTGTGCAGTGAGCTCATGGTGCCTGGAGGCTTCGCACTTGCAGTTCAGAGATCAACTTTTGTGCAGGAAAACAAGCAAACGTGTAAGATGCCAAATTAATTCCTTCCTTTAAGAAACACACACACACACACACGCACGCACTGCTCAGAAAGCAAATGCCTTTCGTAGATGATTCATCTATGTTTTGAAATTGTGATACAACCTGTGTATGTTTTTCTTTTACAGTATAATAGATTTCTGTTCTTGTTTTGTTTCATGTTATTCTAAAACTGAAGATTTCATTCTTCAAGTCAACAAACTCCAGGTATGTAAGGAAATGTTTTTCATTTTGGGAAAACAAAGGTAACTGGATGCAAATGGTACAGGGCATGCAGCTTGAATCAGATACTCAATCAAACTGTTTATTGTTAAAATAAAGTACTTTCTTTTACTTGTGTACATTTCTCTAAACGAGGAGTTACTATGAACTTCCTTTGAAGTGATACATACCACCCACCACTTTTTATTCCGTAGTGCTGATCTAAGATTATAACACGATCAGAAGAAATGGAGTTGCTGCCGTTTTGATCAAACTTTGTAAATGACGTATGTGCAGTCTCATGCATTTATCTGAGATCTCCCAAAATCAAATAGAGCTTAAAGTGTTTTTAATGACTCTCAGTTTTTATCACAGCTAACTTCAGCTCAAGATCTGAACAATTTACTAACTTTTAGCCAATTTTGTCATGACTAAGGTCAATTAGATGTGGTGGCCATCTTTAAACTAGATGACTCCAAAAGTTAATCACAGATGTGCAAACTATGTTTACAGTCTAAGAATTTCATTACAGTTTGTCCAGTGGTTCATGAGATATTTTGCTAACAGACAGACTGTTCACTCTAAAAGTTAATGCCAAAGTTTTAATCAAAGCTGCTGTGCAATGTGTTGCAGACGGAGTATGTGTTAATGTCAATGTCAATTTGTTTATATAGCACATAAAAACAACAACAGCTTTACAATTAAGACGGATAAAAAGAGTTAAAATGCATCTAGTACCGCTCAAAAACAAAAGAAAGTTAACAGTAAATACACAGCAACAATAAAATCAGCTCTAAATTTGTTCTCAGACTCTGCGTGGATCAAATGTCAGGAAAACAGATGAGTCTTCAGCAAAGATTTAAAAGTCTCAACAGTCTGAGCGGTCTTTAAATGAAACTGTTCCACACTCTTGGAGCAGCAACCGCAAAAGCTCGATCACCTCTGGACTTCAGTTTGGATCTGGGGATATTTAAGAGGAACTGGTTGGTAGACCAGAGTGCTCTTACTGGAACGTAGAAGATCACATAAATAAGAAATAAGTGTTGTGGATGATGCACAGCTACTACTACACTAGCTTAATATCTGTAAAATTGACTTAACTGAGTTATAGCTGTATTTGGGATTATTTGGGAGTGCAGTTATGCCTTTCTGAGAGTTTGATTAAAACCATTTTTGGGGCTTAATATATTTTTCTAAGACCAGAGACAAATACACACAAAGGCAAAAGCATTAAAGCTCTTTAGACTTTGACAGTGGTTCATAATAATATTACATTATTACAACAGCTCCAATAGATTATAAAGACTAATAAAAACATTTAAATCATTCAACTGCAATTTTATTTTAAAAAGGACAAATTAAAAATGACTAAACTTACCATTCTCTTTTGTGACTCATGTACTGGCCGTTGATGGAAGCATGCTGGTTGATGATAGGGTTCTTTGGGGGTGCCGGGGAGGACAGGTCCAGGCCCCGGTGGCTGTTGTTGCTGCTGTTGTTGTGCTCCTCCTTCACGTGAGCGTTCGTCACCTCCTTCCACAGTTGTTGCAGCTCTGCTGGAATCATGCCTGGGACAAACAAATTGGATAATTAAATCAATTAACAGCTAATCCAACTCTCTTCTTCATCACCTAATTAAATCAAAGCGTTTGTAAACAAAGCTGAGTATTAATTAGAAAATACTCCACTACAGGGTAATACACAGAGATCGGAACCACCCCTTCCCCCAACTCCCCCTCTGATGTCTACTCTCCCTCTCATTTTGCCTGTGATCTGAAGCATGTTTGTACACACAAATCCCTGGCATTCACGGAAATTTCATGCCCACGGTAAATAATTAACATCCAGACAAGGCATGAAATCTGAATAATCACCGTCCCTTTCTCTCAACAACAGCGATGTGCACAACACACACAACAAAAGTTTACAATAGCAACATAGAAAACATCCCACCCCTGTCTCCTTGAGAAACAGGACCCCGGGGTAATATTCTCAAAAGCGCATTAATGTGCAAAATACTTAAGGCTCTGCGCCGCCTCCAATTGACACAGATGACTTAAACCTCATTTAACGAGTCAAGCACATTGCAGCTCTCATAGGCCTTTGAAAAAAATCCCTTGAAGACACAAGACGTTTTTCTATGTGTGGGTAACGTCCACAGAATGTGTTTTTATGTCTGCACGTAACAGTCAACACCAGAGTGAGCATGCTGAGAGATGATGCTGTATTTATGCACCCCTCTTTACATGTCTTAAGAGAATTTAGAAGCACCAAAGATGTGTCCATCTATGATGCGTCTGTTTTGGAGTCTGACAAGTTTGGTTTTACATAGATACAAATGAGGATGAAGATTAAAAAAAAGATTAAACCTCAAAAGGTCAAGAATTTTTGGTAGCTTGTACGTTCAGTCAAAACCACGTACATGTAGAAACCCTTATTTCAATAGCACTGACCCATCTATTAGTAAAATATACCGTTGATCTTTATTGAAGAGTCAAATTTGCAGAATAAGCTACTGTACATGTTTAAAGGATAGAGAAGTATTTTGGTAGGTACTGGCCCTCTTTGGGGCTCTGGGGCTCAGGCATGAACTATGACTGGAACATCAACTAAGTTTTGGGTAGATTGGGGGTTTTGGACTTTGTGTGTTTGTACTAGAATCTAATGTGTTTTAAGGTTTTTGGGTGGTCATGGTTTGTGTTTGATGGCTTTTGCGAATGTTATGGCAATGTGATTGGCTGACAGTCAATGAGGTCACTCACTCTGGGTTTTGGGTTGCCTGAGATTTTCCAATTTTGCGGGACTGCCATGGTTCCTCTCATAGCTCATTTTGGTGTGAGCATTTTGTTTTTTTCTGTGTGTCTCTGCTGTGGAGCTTGTGGTTTCATCTCAAATTCCCGGAGAGGCAGCAGATTCACATCCAGGCTTCTGTACACTTCAATAGCACTGGTCAGGTTTACTAAAAATAGCTTCCTATGCAATATCTGACGTCAGGAAGTACCTGGATGTAAGGCAAACAGGACTTTGAGTACAACACAATACAGTACTGTAGTCATGGTTTGTACCAATAATAAAAATTTAAAAACAGCAAAAAATGTATCTAAGAAGCTTTGTCAATAAGGGACTTGCAATAGTGACAGCCGATATGCTGAAAAGCCTCATATGGGAGAAATTTGGTTCTTGCCATTCCCAAAGATTCAGGCAGAGAAATGTGATCGTTGAATTTGACTCTGTGGCCAAGTTGGCTTCAACCGGACAAATATTAACAGAAATCTGTTAGAAACATTTGTTTTCCTGCTTTTTCAGGAGCACTGAACATCTTTATCAATCCGCCTACGCTAATTTGTCTTTAGGCACTTAACTCAATGTTTGTAACTGAACGCAAACAAATAATTTGAAGCTAAGTAGTAGGATAATATTTTTAAAAATATAAAAGATCCCAAAATACCATCACCATCCTGGCATTCTCTACACAGAGCAGTTTAAAAGCAGTTTCTATCTAAAACTAGCAAAACAATCGAGAAAACTTAAAATTAGCTTTCTGTTTATGAGCCAAAAATTGATTGTGGTAATAAGAGAAGTTAGACCTTAACAATTTTTAAAGAACATTTTTACTTTTGAAAAATATAGTAAAAGAACTGATCGCTAACAGCTAATGGCTAACACTGGCTAATAAAATAAAATAAAAGAAGCGGCTGGCAAAAATCATTCTTCATTCCGCCGCTGAAAACCTGTGCAATACATAGCGAATCAATGGCATGCATCCTACATGAAATCTTCTGTCATCTGTGCTCTTTTTGAACCAAAAGAGCACACATCAGCACAAAACACTGGGGACGCACACTTTTTATCAATTCGCCCTGGTTGCCGGACACTGCTAGTCCCCTGCATTGAAGCCAGCACTTGAGCTGTGCATTGTTGTATCCATCAATACAATCCAAGCTGATTTTGACCCCAGGAACATCATCTTCATTTAAGTTCACATGGACAAAAGCACTGGAGGTAGCCATCATGTATGCGGTCTGCTGAGTTGTTTGCCAGACATCTGGGACTTTGGGGATTCCCCACAATTCTTGTGATGTCATCCCTGATCAACGCTATTGTGTTTTGGAACAGGGTATTCACTTCAGGATAGGGGGTGTTTTCTTCTTCTTTTTTTGTTTTAACTTGTGTTTCCTGCTTGGAACACTAGGAGGGCATGCATTATCAAATGAGTAGCAACCTGGGTCTTCTGCTGCTGATTCAGCGAGGTTTGGGATCTGATTCATGGCCCACGCACAGTGAATGTTTGACTGTGGCTCGCCTTTCAGTTTGCAGTGTTGTCTGCCTCTTGGTGGCATGGCAGTTGGGGGTCTTTGGACTTTGGTATTTCTTCTGGTTGTTTTTTTGTATTTCCCAAGGAGGTCATGCATCAAAGTGTAGGTGTAATTCTCCAAGCTTAGATTGTTCTGTGGTTATGTTGGGATTTTGTGAAGTGACTGAATTGGCACTTTTTGAGGTTTACTCAAGGATTTACTTGTTATAATTATTATCTTTATCTTTACTTTTAATATTTTAATGATTTCTGGAATCATTGTCACTGTTGTATACCTATTTTTAGCTTTTGTTTCATTATTGTTGTTACTGACAATAACAAAAAGTATTTTCCTTAACATTAATACATGTTTTTATCTTTACTTTTTAATGTACTACTTTTTATCTTTCTTCCATATTTTCTTTGCTCGTGTTTATGGTATTATTTTGTATTCACAGCACACTTAATTATTGTCACCGTATACATTGAAAACTGAACGTTGAAATAAGCAGCTGGATATGTGGTGAGTTTAACCACAGAGCAACTGAGACCATTTGTTTAGCACTACAATTAATTATATCCATTCTCAAAATGAGCATTGGCAAATGAAATGTGATTTGCAATGCTTATCTTGGTGGGTTTATGTTTTGTGGATTCAACCCTCTCTCTCCCATAACCAACACTATAGATACCAGAAGTGCCCCTTTCATGCACCAGATTGTTATACACTGTGCAAAATGCTTAGTCCTAATTTATTCCTGTTGTGGAAAATAACTGTGGGGTGAAGATCTCAATATGATCAGCAAAAAATATTTTTAATTTGATAAGCTACTAAAGATTTTAATTATGCTGGTAATAGAGAACATTGGCCTAATGAGGCAGAGGACTCTAGAGAGACACAGAGGCTAAGAACTGTGAAATGAGTCTGATAGGATTGCTGTAAATTCACACTAGATCGTTTGCATATCAAAGAGCAGGAAATGATTGCAGGACAAATCAATAACCTTTCCACGTTCCAAGGAGTGTCTTTCTTCATTCGGATGTCTCAACCCACTCGCTCTGTACTGTCTGTCTGGATTCGCTCTCATTCTCTTCAGTGCCTTGATGTGCTCTAATCGAAGTGCACGTCCATGACAGGCTAAACATGCTTAATATTGCGGGTCTGTGTTACGGCATGCTAATCCAATCCTTGTTGATTTCTAGATGCATGAGAAATGAAGCTTTTATTGTTCTGGTGGTGTTGAAGATTTTTATGTTCAGATGGTTTAGAAGGGGAAGGTCAGTGTAGATACGAGTGTCCAGCACTCAGACAACGGGAACAATCGTTTTCCCTCCACTTGGTGCTCAGTGACAGTGGGTGATGTATTTTTAGCCAGTTTGCTTGACAGTGCAGCCCACACTGGCTCAATTACCCAGCAGTCCAGGTGACCCCAACCCCACTGTTTGCTCAGATGAAACCAAGGTGGATTGACTGGTGTGATGAGGGAGGTAACGGAGTGAGACCAACATGTCTCTCTCTCTATCCTCTCTAGTTTTATTGCCTTTTGTTTGCACCTCTCCTCTCAGTGCACCAATCCAACCCCTAACCTCTTCAAACGCAGCTATAGCTATGGCTCATGATTCCTCATAAATGACAATAAAATATCATTACACAAATGTCTCACAGGGTATTATATTTGTGCCAGAACAAAATGCATTGAGTTTCTTTCCATCTGATCACTGCGGGACACATAATGACATTGATCTGTAAATTCTTTTTCTTACGTGGTCAGTTTGTCCATCCTTTAAATGCCAGATTGGTTTATCTTTCCTGTTTCCATTTTTCAACACAACTATTCTTCTCATTACGGCTGGGAAATACGGACAAGCACTTTAAAAAATGTATGTTGTTGGGACATTTGATTGATCACCGTCCCCAGAACTCAATTTTAACTCTGCAGGTAGCTCTGGCACTGAGACAGGCCGAGCTCTTCAACCTTTTCCTGTCCTTGTCCCTGTGTACCCAGGTGACCATGTTCAAGCAAGCAGAAAGTTGATTTAAGGTTCATAATGACATCAGTTGCAGGCTATCATCCCCCCAAATAAAAAATGGCCCCCAGTGCTCTGGGCTCTTTAAACCACACTGTTACTTTTCACACACTGTGTCAGTGCCATGGGGGGGACAGTGACATCGCTATTAGTTTATTGTTCCATCAGACTGGGACCTTTAGTGCACCCCTGTTTATGTTGCCGTAATCACTGGCCTGCTGATACGCACCCCTTAGGTCTGAAATATGTCCTGTCGAAATGCTGCAGGAACTATTACCAGCAGCCCACTGCTGGACGTATCAATCACTGACAGGTCAGCTGCCTTACCCACCGCTGCTCCTGATGTGCTGCTGCTTTGTGAGCACTTCATGGCTCGCCACATTCTTTGCTTTCATATTACTGACAAATTTGTCTTGTCACTGTCCCACTGGCCTCTCTCGGACAACTTAAATGATGTTGTACAGCTAGAGGAACTCGCTCTCTTGCAAGTAACCTCTGAGGTTAAAGTCAGGAAGTGCTCAAACGCTGGGCACTTCTGTGGCACTTGCAAACATCTGAACCACGTAAACAGACAAAAACATGTTTTTTATGAGCAGTGTGGTGGTTATTTGGATAAATTCACATTTAAAGGAGCTTAATTCTCCGCAAACACTGTTATATTTTAGAACAGATATCGATGGCCGCTTCCAAGTCTCTGAACATTAATGTCAAAATATATTTACAAGAAAGACAAATTATACGCTAGATAGTGTGAACAATTGTTTTTTACTCACAACCGCTATCGACAAGTTTCTAATTAATTAGTGCTATCAGTGTTTTGGAAAAGCTAATTTAAATGCATTCCTTCAGTCCGTCACTTTGGCAGAACAAATACTGCAATTTGTCTTGGTCAAAAAAGTAACAAAGCAAAAGACGGGCATAAAACCGTTGTAAACAGCATCACAGTACCAAAAAGCATGCTTAATTCGATAACTGCAGTGTTACAAAGACCTGTTATTTGAAAACCTTCTGTTGCTTTCATTTTCTCAGCGCATAAAAAAAATTGGACACAGCTGATTGCATGCATTAACAGTGGCCTTTTCCAATAATTATACTGATATCTTCATGTTTAAATGAAAGAAATAAAAATCATCAGCTAAAAAGTCATGGCAATTTACTGCCCCCCAAGTTTGAATCCATAATCACTGAGACGCAAGCAGAGCAGATCAACCCATCACTTCCGATGCAGCGCTAACAGCTAGCTGAATATTACAGATTAGATCTGAGCACCATAGGCCCGGCTTGGTGGTGCATGAAAGAGTTTAGTGATGTGGAAAACAGAAAGGTCATCAATAACTTCAAACAGTCAAGCAGAAAATGTGTAGAATAAGAGGACAAACCGGGGGCCTGGAGCACTAACCTAAGTGTTGTAACAGCTGTCGGGGACACACGGTTAACTGTCAGCGGGATGTAAGAGCAAACCATCCAGGTTTTACAACAAACTGAATAAAAAACTGTGTTTGTAGGAAAACACTTCCTTTTATATATATATATATATATATATATATATATATATATATA